TAGGACTTGGTAGGCAGCCGGCAAAGTTACGCAGCGGTCGATCGAGGAAGTTGTGGTGTGCCATGCGTCGAGCGTTTCCCTGACCGTTTGATCGCTCCCTTGACCCAAGACTTCGGCGTCCTGGAAAGCGAAGGCATGGCCGGAAGCTGCGCATTGCTCCGCCACCAGCGAGTGTTAATCCATTCTTCGTACCGCCCTTGCGTGCTCGTCCATGCGGCCTGCAATATTTTCCCGGTCTCCCCAACGCAGTTTACTTCGCAGGAACTACACGGGATCCGATAGACGACGTTGGCTGTTTCGCCTCGTGACAGAGGCGTTTTTGGTCGCACGATCAGACGTCCAATTGTCACTTCGGGTTTGTGGGCGATGTCGATACTCAATGGTTGCAAGATACGAGCAACTGCCTCGGAAATGTCCGCAATATAGGGCAGCACTCACCAGACTTTCGGTTGATTTGCTGTTGACTTTATGCTTGGTCTGGACAGTCTGCTGTGTTCTTTAAAGCTGCGAGGGTAACCGTTGGAGGTGAACATCCGCCGTAGATAGTGGAGTCCGGCTACTTTGCCGGCCAGTTCGCTGCAGTGAGTGTCAACTCTCTTGTAGAGAAATCGAACGCAGCTTCGTTTGTGACACAGCGGGTGATTACTGTAGTAGGACAGGACAGGACTTGGCGAGTGTTACTGGCCTTCCTGTAAACCGTCGTTTTCAGGCTCCTGTTGACCTTACAATGAGCCAGAACGTCTAGGAACGCGATCTGATTGTTGTTCTCTGTCTCCATAGTGAATTGAATGTCTGGAAAAACAGAGTTCAATAGCGCGTGGAATTTCGCGACGATTTTCCGTTTGAGAACGGCGAAAGTGTCGTCCACATACCGCGCCCAAAATTTCGGCTTGTATGTTGCGAAGACTTGGCACAGAATCAACCGGCGTGGAGAAAGACAGCGAAAACTGGAGCGATCGTCTATGAAGCCAACCGAATCGTCCTTGTCAAAACCAAAGTAGAAGCTTGCATGTCTCAGACTCCTCTGACTCGCAATGTTAACATCTAATCGTGCCAAAATTGTAGTGGGACGCTCACGGATTACGCTACGGAACGCACGTATCCCTTGGGACTCCCTCACAAGCCCCGCTAGCAGCCGGACAGCGGTACGTGGTACCGGCAGAATAGAATTATCGGCAAGGAGAAGAAAGACAGGAATGGGGTTGAGTACGGCTGGATGACGACGGCTAAAAAGCCAGAAATGGCCACTCCAGTCTCCCTTGTCTTTGTCGGTAATGGTATTCTCCCTCCCGATATTTCCGCGCTATTAAAGAGCGTTCCGAGCGCTGATCAGCCTCATTGGACATTCAGCAACAGTCCGACAACCTGACCGCCCCTGCTTTAAACCCCGCGACGTCCACTACTACTACTACTACTACTACTACTACTACTACTACTACTACTACTACTACTACTACTACTACTACTACTACCACCGGTGATTTCGATCCCCGGGTCTCACCGTTGTCGAGCACTGCGTGATCTCCATCCTTCCTGTCACAACCTCCTCGAAGACGACGATGACTACCAGCTCTCCCACTCCTGCTACTGATGAGAACGCCCCTGACGCCTCGTTAACCAATATCTCCACTATCGCCGTCTCCACCAGCAGCGATGTAAACTCGATCCTAGCCCATCCTCAGTGCAATTGCATATTGACCTCATGCATCGGTCTGGTCGGTCACTTGCGGACCCATTGCACTGCGACAGATTTACCGGTGACAGGAACCCAAACATTCACTCTCCACGTCCGATTCCAATATCCCCACGGCCTGCACACATTCACCGCATGGAGCTATTCAGTCATCCGCGCATTCTCAACAGCGGAATTCGCCACAATATCGACACACCCACTCAGGAGCTCAACCAATCCCCATTGAGGCGAGGAATCAATGGGGGACTCCCAACCCCTAGCGTTTACCCCAACTCTTAACCCTAGCCACTAACAAGTACAGCTCGTAACACCTACGGCCATCAGGTCCGCGACCATCCGTCAAAAAGTCAGGGCAGCGAGGGAAGGAAGAGTCGGCCAGCCCAGGACTGACTAGCTCAGCATGTCATGTGCATTTCTGTTTGCTTTTGTGTATTTAGCTCTTTAACAAAGATGAGCCAACCAATCTCCCCGAAATGTCAACAGGACAATAAATCTGATTAGCAAGATGAAGATGCGATCCCTGGAAGAAGAAAGTTATTGCCCTGACGTTTCGGATTCTCACTCGAATCCACCATCAGAGACATTCGCAGATAAAGGTGGTGGTGGCACCATGAGTGCAGTATTTATAGCACGTGGCTGCCGTGGACCGTATGCGCACTGCAATTAACAGTTCTCGCAATCGCCGCTGGGGTCGTAATTGGTGCGGTGGTGGCTTGTCAGTCCGAGTCAGAGTCGTTAATCGCCGTGATTCTGTCATCCTTGCTGGATGCTGGTGTGACGATTGCTCGGCAAACTGGCTCGCTGTCACTGTGATAATTGCTCGCCCGCGCCCTCCCCACGTGACTGATTCTCCTGCCCGGGGAAAATATCAGCACGGAATATGGTACTGGGAGGCCATTGTGCTTGTTGATGGATTTCGGGTCTGAAAACCATGACTCGAGCAGCTCGCGGCTCACGCGATTGTCACCCCTTGCGAGGATTGCGGGCCTCTTGAAATTTTAAAATATGGCTGGGCCCCGTCGAGTATGCCGCCACCTGAGAGTTAGCGTCTCCCCGCCTCACTGCTGCTGCGTGCACGGCAATTCGCGTACGGAGTAATCTCCCGGTTTGTCCGACATAGTTACTTCGTCCGCAACTATATCGAACACAACAACCTCTTAGAACCATATTCCGTGCTGAGGTTTTCCCTGGGCAGGAGAATCAGTCACGTGGGGAGGGCGCGGGCGAGCAATTATCACAGTGACAGTGAACCAACTTGCTGAGCAATCGTCACACCAGCATCCAGCAAGGATGACAAAATCACGGCAATTAACGACTCGGACTCGGACTGACATGCCACCGCCGCATCAATTACGACCCCAGCGGTGATTGCGAGAACTGTTAATGGCAGTGCGCATACGGTCCACGGCAGCCGCGTGCTATAAATACTGCTCTCCTGGTGCCACAATCACCTTTATCTGCTACTGTCTCTGATGATGGATTCGAGGGAGAATCCGAAACGTCAGGCCAATGACTTTCTTGTTCCAGTGCTCGCATCTTCATCTTGTGAACTGCTACCTGGAACTCGCTTGTTCGCTTCTATCGGCAAATCTGATTAGGTGAGCCCTTCCCCCTTCTCATGCTATCACCCCGTATCTTTCAAGTTTGTCAACCTGGACGACTGTTTTGTCTGTAAGGCAGCCTCTGAACGAGGAATTTGCTAGAGACACATCAGTGTTTACTGTTCGTTTACTCACAAAAAGCTCATAATCCATGACCCCTTGAACATCCCACTATACACTTAACGTCATCTTTTGGGAAGAAGGCTCCTTTTGGGTTCCATAACTGATCGGTCCTCACTTCTGATCCCCTGACGACGTTTGTAGTTAAAGTAAATTATTCATTCCTTTTCGACAGTGAATGCTATCCAGAAACGGGTCTTGGAACTGCAGTGCAAGCAAAGATCCTTATTTATCGATAGGTCGTTTGTAATTCCCTTCATATGGGCATAACTCTCCCCCTCGTTGGCTCCAACATGGAGTTGAGTTTGCAAAAAATTTGGATAACACATGTGGTAAAATTTACAGGAAAAGGAGGTGGTATTAATAATAAGCAGGTATCTTTGGAGCAAAGTGTTTTTGTGGCCTGGTATTAACATAGTTGACGAGGAACTTAGAAGAATCCGGGACCTGATTCGCAAGAACGGGTATCCTGACAGATTTATTGTAGGGAATCTTACTGAATGACCGGCAAAACTCATCAAAACAACGGCGGAAGAGAAAACTCTGTTCCTCAAGGTCCCTTTAAAGGGTACGCGTGCGAGTGAACCCCTGAGAGTGCGTCCTGACCAAGCCGTTTCACGGAAATTCCAGGCAGCAAGAGTTCAAATATTGTTTTCGACCAGCTCTGTCCTACGCGGAGAAGGTAAGGATAGGCTACCAGTTCAGACCACCTCCATGTGCGTTTACCCCTTTACTTGCTTATGTGAAGCAGGCTATATTGGTCGTACGAGTCAGCGTCTCTCCGCAAGAATACGAGAGCACCTGCAGGCATTACTGAGGAAAGGTGAAGTTAAGGGCATGCACAGCTCCGTTCTCGTACACATGGTTGATTCTGAGCATTGCGTGGATCCCGACGAAGCGTTTCGTATGATTTACAAGGTCCCACCTAACTACCCTAAGTGACTGGTTCCGCGCTTACAAGCAACAGCAGAAGCGACTGTCACCAGGCTACAGAGGCCGGTCCTGTGCGCGCAGAGGAACCTCTCACACTCTCCGCGTCTACGGTGGGCAAGGATCGATCAACTGTATGCATGTCCCCGTCCCCTCCCTCCTCCCCCTTGTGACACGGCTCTACCTAACCCTCACAGTCGCTTACTGCCGCTCCTCCCTTCCCTACCCTCTATTCACATGCCCTGTCTGTATGAAAAGAGGAACCATAATCGACTGTTCTTATCGCCCACTCATTTCCTTTTTTTACCTCGTTACTATATAAATGTTCAGGCCCGATGAGAAGTTATCGAAAGCACGCATATGCTCGCCAAATGCTCTTCTGGATTGGTCAGTGGGATTTTCGCAACTTTAACATACCTGGTTGAGACGTCTGGAATTGTTGTTCTGTCCGCTTACCGACATGATCACAAACCACATGCTCGACGTTAGGTTGGTAAAAAAAAGTCTAGTTCCCACACGCCGCCGACAGCCATGGAGGTCTGCAGCTGTTTAACTGACGCACCGCTGGTTCACAGCTTCGATTAAGTGGCCCCAACAAGGCCACTCGCGCGCAACAGATCGATACCGCGCACGTGGCTGACATATCACTACAAGTCATGTCCGAAGCCAGCTCCGCACTCGCTACGGCTGCATTTACAGTTCTGCCGCTGGCTGTGGTGGTTGTTTTCGTGGTGGGATCGTATTTGCACGACAGTCTACATGGAAGCGGTTTGTCGGGAAACAAAGTTGAAGTCGTGGAGCAACTACTATTCGGTGGAGGTGACTACCTACGCAATGTTATCGTCCTCGGAATCACCATTTCTCAGATCTTCAGCCCAAACATCCTCCTTGAGAGCATGTATGTGAGTCGATTTCAGGCTATCAGCCTGATAATTGGGAGGACAGTGAGCTTCGCCCTGTGCGTTTTCTTCTGGAACAGGATATCATCAATGGGTTTCCAAAGCATCGGTGCATACCTTATGCACCGATACGAGAACCGTTACATTCTGATTCTCTACCACATAAACTCCCTCTTGGGTGCCCTATACATCTACAATATCTACGCTGGGCCTGTTATGTTCGGCACTGTGGAACAGTTCAAAACGAGCCGAGCCTTCTTTCTTGTGTTGATCGGCTACGTATCGATATGTAGCTTTGGTGGAATGCGGACTACTCTTTTTACCGTCTGTGTCCTCTGGATAATGGAATATATTGGTAAGGCTATGCTGGTACAGCATACCTACACAGCTGGAACATTTGATCTGGAGGGCATAGAGTCTGAAAATGATATCTGCAAAAGCTCGAACCCTTTAACTAGTTTTGTCGGCAGTTTTTGCCTTCTTATGGCAGTGCAGCCGGGTTACACAGTCTTCCACGCGGCTGAGTCACCGCTTACATCAAAAATCAGCATGGCTGTGGGTCTTCTTCTCTTTTGGCTGAATTCGGTGGGTTCCGTTTTCAGCGCCAATGCTCTCAAGGCTTTTGGACACAAGTATGAGCTGAATGGCAGTCGCTGGCTCTACGGCCTTCTACGCTATCCTCGTGGACCCAATGATAACGAGAAAGCTTTCCTGCGCGATCAAGTTTTCCAGACGACAAATGTGAGTGGCTACATGCATGAGGCCTGGAATCTTACCTCCTCAGACGTCTTTATCTTTGTCACCTGTGTCTACTTCCCCCTGGCTGCCTTCTTTTGTCTCCGGGTGACAATACTGAGCGGAGAGATCAGCGAAAAGTTTGTCTCCCACCTCCTTCGATCAGCTATCATCAGATCCGGTTCGGAACTACAGCGTATGTATACAGCGCTGCACGGCTGTCTATGGGTTATGGCGCTTTCCGGTCTGATTGTCTGGTACAAACACATCCACCTGCCCGAAACCCGTACCTTGAACCTCTTCGAGCCTCAATTCTGCGCCGCCCTCCTGCCTGGCAGTGCTCTAATCATAGCCTTTGGATCATTGTTTCCGCAGGCAAAACTTGTTCCACTTGCCCTGGCCTGGCTGATTTCACTGGCTCTCAGTGGTTCTCCCATCGCGATGTACCTTTGGAGTACCGAATATCAGGATATTTTTCATTCTATAGTTGACTGGTCCACTCCCCATCTGACTAGCTGGCAGTGCGTGGGTGCCTGGAGTCTATTCTTCCATTTCATCCTAAACGCCGCCCTCTGTCTCGTTCTCAGCGCGATGTTTGGAGGCATCAGAAATTGGTTCCAACAGTACGACCTGAAGTACATGACCTACGGCCGCCAACCATCCAGTTTTACTTTGGCTATTCATCGGCCTACTCAAGTGAGACAGTCCTGGGATGTTGATTCTTTCGCTAATCGCTGACTCGGAAGATCATCTCTACTAACGAAAGAGTTTACCGCCAGTTAGATTATTAGCCTCCTTTTACTCATGATGTCTTTCTAAAACTGTAAATAAAAGCCATAGTCTGTCGGGCAAAGGGGTGAGCATGAATATGAAGGCAAAATTTTGAACAAATTCGACATTTCCGCTCAAGTTACCCAATGTGAGTAAATCGGAATACAAAAACAACAAATTATAGGAGGATAGGGGATGATAGGGACCAAGTAGCCCACTAGATAAGACCGACACATATGACCCCCTAAACAGGACATGAGAACAGGAATTGCCTGCAATACGGGTGACTTTGAGCCAAATTCAAGTAAAATGAAGGTTAAGTTGGGGTTTGATGTCAGACTGGATTTAAAGTTAACGACAATGTACGGTAGGTGGGCTCACTCATAAAATGTCAACCGAAATTTCGAAACGCGTTTTCGTTTCGAAAGGATTAATTAATTAGGGTTGTAAAACTAATAATCATACAGCATAATTCTATAACAATTCAGTTACCTTAAAATGCCGTCTTTCGAGCGAACTTCTTTCCGGCAGCATGCGAAATCTATACTCTGTAAAAAAATGACTACTTAAATAGCATGCATTTTTCTCATTGATTTTCGATGCCCTTAAAAATTCAATCATAGTTCATGGAAAACATGCATAATAATACTCATTCTTTTATCCAGTCGGTAAAAAAGTACGTCTTCTTCCAACGTTACACTCGAAGAAAGGCTATAATTCGGTTTTAAAAAAGTCCCTAATTGTGAGATTTTCTAATACCTGGAAATGGCCGTTCATAAGACTTCATGTTTCTGCATTTACCAATGTGGCTCAAATCCGCTGCTGAATGTTATGAACGCCATCTTGTGTCCACTTAATACCATAGAGAAACATGGTTTTCCGTATGTGGAAAATATATGGTTTGTAGTTTAAAAACCCTGAATGCGAGTATAACGGCAGGTCGGGTTCAAAATTATTCGGGAATTGGAAAGTATTTTGAAAACCGAATTATACCCTTCCCTCGAGTGTAACGTTGGAAGAAGACGTAATTTTTTACCGAATAGATAAAAGAATGAGTATTATTATGCATGTTTTCCATGAACTATGATTGAATTTTTAAGGGCATCGAAAATCAATGAGAAAAATGCATGCTATTTAAGTAGTCATTTTTTTACAGAGTAGAGATTTCGCATGCTGCCGGAAAGAAGTTCGCTCGAAAGATGGCATACTGAGGTAACTGAAGTATCATAGAATTATGCTGTATGATTATTAGTTTTACAACCCTAATTAATTAATCCTTTCGAAACGAAAACGCATTTCGGAATTTCAGTTGACATTTCATGAGTTAGTCCACGTAATGTAAGTCAGGATTAAGTTTAGGGTTAAGGGCTAAACCTACAGTGAGTGACCGGTCTCATGAAATGTTGGCTGAAATTCTGAAATTCGTTTTCGATCAGGAAGGACTACTTGGTCGCGTTTGTAACAATGATTATCTTGCGGCATAGTCTTATAACATTTGGGACTTGGCAGGATATCTGTTTTTAAATGCACTTCTTTTTAATCTCCTGTAGAAAGCGTATTCGGTAAAAAATGACTACTCAAATAGCATACAATTTTCCCATTGATTTTTGATGGTCTTGCAAATTCATATATATTTTATAGAAACCATAAACAAAAATATGCTTTCTTTTAGTCAATCAATAGGGAGTCACATCTTCTTTATATTTTATACTCAACAAAGGAGTATAATTAGGTTTTAAAAAGTTTTCTAATTGCCGAATAATTTGAAGCCTGATCATTCGTTGCATTAGCGCTTCGTGATTTCGGTCAACAAGGTGTATGCGTTCCGCGTAAAGAAAATCACATATTTTTCTGTCCCATTAAAGAGATATCACACAGAGTCTATAAAATTTTGCAATGAATGCGAACTTTGTTGTATATTTCACGAGGAGAAGTGGTAAACGCCAGGTACGACGCTATGTGAATGAACTTTTCGCGATCTTAAAAAGTCTCATAATTAGAAACTTTCGCACAACCTAACTAAATTCCTTCCTTAAGTATAAAATAAAAAAGAAGACGTGATTCTCTATTAACCGGCTGAAAGAAAACATATTTTTGTTTATGGTTTCTATAAAATATATTTGAATTTCCAAGACCATTGAAAATCAATGTGAAAATGCATGCTACCTAAGTAGTCATTTTTTTACCGATTATGCTTTCTGCAGGAGATTGAAAAGAAGTGCATTTCAAAGCTGACATCCTGCCGAGTCCGAAATATTTGAAGGTTATGCCACAAGATAATCAGTATTACAACCACGACCAAGCAAACCATCCTAATCGAAAACGCATTTCAGAATTTCAGTCAACATTTCATGAGATCGATCACTCACTGTAGCCACAGAATAAAGGTCAAGGATGGGGTTAGGGTTAAGAGTATGGCAGCGGTTTAGTTTTATACTAAGGCTATTGTTGGGGTAAGGGCACGGGAATATTCTGCCCTTTCCGGAATGATGCGCAG